ACATTCATTCCTGATAAAAGCCTTATGAAAAATTGGAACCTTTATCTAAATCTGATAAAAGCCAAATACAATAAATGAACAGTCAACATCTTACTAAATGGACAAAAACTGAAAACTTTCAACCTAAAATCAAGCACAAGACAAGGATGTCCATTATCACCACTCTTATTCAATGTAGTTCAGTAAACATTAGCCAGAGCAATTAAACAACAGAAAAAGAATAAGGATAGGAAAGGAAGAAGTTAAATTATCATTATTTGCAGATGACATGACACTCTACATAGAAAAGCCCCAAAACTCCATTGAAAGACTTCTAGATGTAACAACCAAATTCAGCAATGTAGCTGGATACAAGGTCAACATTCAAAAATCAACAGCATTCCTGTACACAAACAAGCTCACTGAGAGAGAAATAAGAGAAACCACACCCTTTACAATAGCATCCAAAAAAATGAGATATTTAGGAATCAATCTAACAAAGGAAGCAAAAGATCTGTACAGTGAAAAATACAGTACCCTGAAAAAAGAAATCAAAGAGGATTTCACAAAAATGGAAAGAAGTTTCTTGTTCATGGTAGGAAGAACAAACATTGTGAAAATAGCCATTCTCCCAAAATTGTTACACAGATTTAATGCAATTCCAGTCAAGATACCACTAGCATACCTCACAGATAGCAAAATCATTCCTAAAATTCACTAGAACTAGAAGACACCTAGAATAGCAAAGGCAATCCTGGGCAACAAAGACAAGACAGGAGTCATCACAATCCCTGACTTCAAATTATACTACAAAGCCACTGTGGTAAAATCAGTATGGTACTGGAATAAAAACAGATCTGAAGATCAATGGAATAGATTAGAAGATGCAGATAGAACTACCAAGACACTCAGCCACCTTATCTTTGACAAAGGGGCCAAACATGTTCACTGGAAGAAAGACAGCCTCTTTAATAAGTGGTGCTGGAAAAAGTGGCTTTCCATATGCTGAAAACTAAAACTAGACCCATGTCTATCACCATGTACTAAACTAAAGTCAAAATGGATCAAAGATCTAAATATTCAAACAGAAACACTAAATCTGCTGGAATATAAAATAGGTAGAAATCGTGAAGACAGAGGCAGAGAGTTCATGAGCAAAAAACAAACTGCAGGGGAAAAACTACCCAGAATTAACAACTGGGATCTTATCTTACTGAAAAGATTTTGATGTCAAAGAAATCTCCAACAGAGTAAAAAGAAAACTTGCAAACTGTGAAAATATCTTAGTCAACTGTCCCTCAGAAAAAGGACTTCTATCTAGAACATAACAAAGAATTCAAAATTAGGCCCCCCAAATTCAAAGACTCACTCCAGAAATGGGCATCTGAGATGAATACACATTTCTCAGCTAAAGAAATATAAATGGCCAATAAATATATGAAAAAATGTTCAGCATCATTGGTCATTAAAGAAATGCAAATAAGAACATTAAGATTCCACCTCTCTTCAAAAAGAATGGCCAAGATCAACAAATCAACCAATAAAAAATGCTGGAGGGACTGAAAGGAACCCTCCTCCACTGCTGGTGCGAGTACAGACTGGTGCAACCACTGTGGAAATCAGTGTGGAGGTTCCTCAAAAGCTAGCATTGAAGGTTCCATCTGACTCAGCTATCCTGCTTCTGGATATTTTCCTAGAACTGAAAAAACATCATACCACAGTGATATGTGTGCACCCATATTTATAACTGCATAATTTACAATAGCCAAATCTTGGAAATAACTCAAATGCCCATCAACTGCGGAATGGACAAAAAAGATTGTATTTTTTATACAATGGAGTACTACTCAGCTATAAAGATAGATTGCATCGAGGCTTTTATAGGTAAATGGACACGATTTGAGACCACACTCATAAGTGAAATAACCAAATTCAAATGTAAACACTGTATTTCCTCCCTAGTGCAAGAAACGGAAAGAGCAAATATGATCCAAAATCTACAATAAATACTGTGTAAGGGTAAGAAACTGCTCAAAGAGGAAAGTAATTGGGATGGAGGAAGGAGAAATGAAGGAAAGGAAAAGGAAAAAGATATAAATGTAAATATATAAAGATAGCTAAGATGACTTTACTACTAATTCCATTAGTTCTTGTAAGAGAACAGCTAATTCTCATATGACTCCATAAATTCTGCATGTTATAATTGGTAATCTAAGCAACTCTTTTGACGGTAACCATGTGCAATATAACAACTATTGTTAAATTCCTACTATCTTGTATTGAAATCCTACATTGTTATTGTTTGGGGTTTGCTGCTGGTGTTTGACTCTTTTTGTTTTTGTTTTCTGTGTTTTTTTCTCTTTTAATGAAAAAAGAGAAAGAAAAAAGAAAAGCCAAGCATCTCATAGATCATATTAGGTAAAAATCAAATAGCCAGTGTTCATGCATTTGTTTATTCATTTATTCACTGTACCTAGAAAAAAAAAGTGTCCCAGTGTCACAAAGTAAGGACATAATGAAAAATAAGACACAGATGCTGCCTTCAAGTAATTCATAATTTAAGTGGAAAATAGGAACTAAACAGGCAATTAAATGTTAATTGCTTGCATAATAATGCTATGAAATACATTTGAAAAAAAGGAATTAAATCCTGATCTGAGGGGCCAGGCTGGGCTGGAGGCTTCTGGAAGAAAAAAGAAAGAAAGAAAAAATTATTGGGCCTCCCAAAGATTGAAGAGGAATTTAGCAAACGGAAGGCTAAGATATTTTGTATAGAGCGATACGTACCACATTTGGGAAGAAAAAGAGTATTTCTGAGGAACTGTGAGAAGTTCTGTGTGGATTCTTTGGGATGAGTGTTATGGCTTGTGTCAAGATTTTCCCTCCAAAGCCTGAGTTTTTTCAAAAGTGACTGGATATAGAGTGTGTGGTGCTGTGGTCACGGGTATGCAATTACTACATCAGGCCACTGATTGGTTGAGCAACAGTCCTAAGCCTCGTAGCCTAGACAGAATATAAAAGGGAAAAAAAGAGCTACCAAGGTCACTTGGATTTACTTTTTCACTCCTTTGTTACCTTCTGGCTACCATGAACTGTTTCTCCTCTGCAGTGTCCCTTTACCGTAACCTTCCGCCATACCGCTCTGTCCTGAAGCCAGCCAATCATGGCATTTCTGGGTAGGTAACATAAAGGAAGGCTTCAGAAGACCTCAAGTGCCAATTTCCAAAATAAAAGCTAAATCTAATAAGCAAAAAGGACAACAAAATAGTTCTTACACTGAAATTATGCAAGGAAGTACTCTGTTAAAAGAATATGGGTATCACAATGATACAAAACATACACTCATATATAGGTGATAGGGTCCCTCCCAAAAATGTAAAAGTCTTAGCCAATACATACCACACCCTGACCCCCTTTATCACTTTCAAGGCCTCAAGCTAAATTCATCTCTGTACAGTTGTAAGTAGCTTCAACCGTTTTTTAAATGAAGAAATCAACACCCCTTGGCCTTCAAAAAGGCCTAGTATCCCTTATCCTGTTGCGAATGACCTCAGGTAGATACATGACCTTGCTTAACAAAGATATGCACTCCTACTAAGGCTTGATTATCCTACAAAAAAGCCATAGACCAAAAGAGAACACTACTGAGATGACATTTAACCTGCAGAAGAAACCTTCTGTGGTTTGTAAATGGCTTGAGTGTGTCTGAAGCTTCACGTGCTAGAGGCTTGGTCTCCTGTGTGGACACACCAAAAGGTAGAGAAACTTTTAAGAGGTAAAGGGGTAAAGCCTGGTGGACAGTGAGTAGGCGCCTGAGGGACTCTCAGAAGGGATTACTGTAGTTCTCCAGAAACCCCTGCTGGTTCCATAATAGTGGGTTATTATAAAACTAGAGAGCCTGTCTTTAAACATCTCCTGCCTCTTGACTCAGCATGCGATCTTTCCCTTGTGCACACACTGCTGCCACAATGCCTCCCACACCATGATTTATAGCCAGAAGGTTCTCATCAGAGCTGAGCACACGCCAGTGCCATACTTTCTAACTTCCAAGACTGTCAGCTAAATAAAGCTCTTTATTTTACATATGGCCCAGCCTCAGGTATTTTGTTATAGTACCTGAAAAAATGGACTAAGAACCATTCTAATCTGGGGGATTGTGGAACTGGAATATAAAGCCCTAATCCTTCAAAAGTTTATAATCATTGGATACAGTTGGCTAGTATATAGTGAAAATTCAACACCTGAAAAAAGTTAAATGACTAAAGTTGATAACAAGTTAACATTTTCCCTAACGATTCCAACAGCAAAGAAAAAGATTGACTATAGTTGTTATTTAAAACCTATAAATCCTACACCAGTATTATTCTAATTGCCTAAGTCTAAACTTATATCTTTCTATTTTCCAAAATGTGATTTATTAAGCACTAGATAATTTAAAAGTCTGAACACTTATTTTCTGAAATTAAAATCAATAACTAATCTTTTTCATTTAAAAAGACAGTTAAAACTAGTTGGCTGCCTAGATCGATTGTTTTTACAGGGAAATTTCTTTCCACTGACTCTGACATATATCTATGTTACTTCCTCAAGGGGTAAAATGTTATTTACTGTGGGTTCTTTTCATATTTCACAGTTCTAATGATCACTTTCCCACCATAGTGGCAGCATCATTTAAGGACCTGCATGTCATTATCGGTCCCAGCACCACTGACTCCCCTCTGCCTCATGAAAGGGATGTGGGGTGTTTTAATTCCAGAGAACTCTCTATATGGATTCCACATTCAGAAATTCAGTATTTTTTAAAAACGTGTCTGTATTGAAAATGTACAGACATTTTTCTATTGTCATTATTCCCTAAGCAATACAATATAAAAACTTTTACACAGAATAGGTATTACAGATAATCTAGAAATAATTTATAGAGGATTACAGAGATGAAACACACTATTTGGTACAAGGAACTCACGCATCCATGCATATAAAGAGCTGACTGTATTTGCAAGCAGCTGAGCTCGACTTACCCTCCGCCTCCCGTGATGTAGCTGTAGCCGCCAGTGCCCAGCCCGTAGCCGTAGCGCTCCCCCAGAAACACCGGTTCACTGGAGTTGTAGCAGCTAAGCAGGTGCTGGAGCCTGGAGATGCTGAGAGCCAAAGGGAACATAAGTAACAATTACTCAATTCAAATGCCGTTTCAGGCTAAATATTTTATGCTTACATCCTATGTTTTATATTGTGTAGCAGTAAACTGGAATCAGCAATGAAAGTCAAGTGATTTATAAAACAAAATAGATTTTAAAAGACCACAGGGCCAGAGATACAGCTCAGTGGCATGCATGGCACATACCTGGCAAGCGTGAGTTTGTGAGTTCAAACCATGGTACCAATAAAAAAAAAGAACAAAAAATGTAAATACTGGAAAAATAAGAGAAATTGAGAAACTAGAAGTGTACTTAAGCTGAAGTAGCCCCAGCCAGAAAAGTCACCTTATTGGGGTGAGCAGGGAGGCAGGTAAGTGAAGCGAAGGCGGCAGTGGCCAGGAATCTCATGCCTATCAGCCCTGTCTATTTCTGAGTGCGGATTAATCCTCACATCTTTTAGGGACTTGATGCTTTGTTTCCTAGTCGCAGAGAGGACCCTTAGGGAGGCAAATGAGTTGAAGAGGGCCAGGCACATGGCCAGCAGGTGGGGCCCAAGAACTTGGACAGAGAGGCTTTCCTGAAAATTCTTAGAGTACGATGCACAGCACTGCTGCTAAGCCTCAACACGGCTACCCGGTGTGTGAATTCTGTCCATCTGGATAGCCCCTGGATGTCTTTTGACTCCTATCTGTCTTTGTCCTGAGTCAAAATGACAGCTGACAAAGAGTGATAAGAATATCCACAAACTGTCCGGATTACTGCCTAGAACTATAGCTACCATACGAATGAGATAAAGATTTCACTGGAAACCGAGAAATAACTTTTTAAAGCAGACACAAAAGTTAATGTTAAAAAAGTAAATTCTTCGGGGCTGGGGATTTGGCTCAGCGGCATAAGCGCCTGCCTTGCAAGCGGGCAGTCCTGAGTTCAATTCCTGGTACCGATAAAAAGGAAAAAGACCAAAAAAAAAAAGATATTAAAAAAAAGTAAATTCTTCACTGCTTTCAGAACTGATACCACCTAGAAGTGCCTTTTAAAATTTCCTGTTTCCTCGAGAGATTTTTCAATTCATACATCACTAAATCTTAGTTTTCCTCATGATATTAATCATGAATCAAACAACAAAAACAAACAAACAGATACTCAAATGCTTTTCCATGGTCTGTGACTCTGAGTTAAACTTTTTTAGTGGACTTAAATGTATGTCAGTCTGTGATTCCTGAGCACCATGAGTCTGCAACACGACAGCAGGTGTTTCTCTGTGCCCCTAACAGAAGAAAGCTTTTCTAACTGAGCCTTGATACACTGAGAACACCAGTATTCTAGAGACTCAGTTTCCCTCTGTTTGGTAATAGAGTTGTGTGATGAGAAAATGCAGCAGAGAAGGAAACGAGGGCTGATTTTTTTCTATCCATGCTTACGCCTCTACGGAAATGCCCCACCTGATAAAGCTGAATCTACAAGTGAGGAAAACAAATCTAACACATGAATCAAATCAAGTGCCAGTGCTCAATGAATTTATGAACCAGGTGATCAGATTTATACTCTGTCTAAAGGTTAGGCCTCTGTAACATCAACAGTCTGTGACTGTCCAGGAAACGCTGTCCACTGGACACACACTAAACATTCTAAGCACCTAATTTGGAACTTGAAGAAGTCTGAGAAATACTAACTGCCAGTGAAGGCACGAGCGGCAACAGTCAGTGACAGATGATGAACTCTGACAGCAACAGCCTTCGCTTCGCTTTTACAAACTTAATTTGGCTGTACAAAAACTAAAAGCTTTCTAGGGCAAATTTATGTCTAATTCAGGGTCTGAAAAAGATGCGAACCATATGGTATTTCCCTTCCTCTTGTATATTGTAAAACCGTCGATTCAACATCTGACCTCTTATTTCTAAGATTAAAATACCTGCAATTTAACTCTTCTATAGGTGTCTTTCCTTCAAACACCATTTTCATATTCACAGTATGATTTTAAAGCTGAACGGTCACAAACAGAGACTGATAATTATCACATACTTCATATTCTTTCAACAGCAGAAATGTAAATAAAGCAGTTGATCTCTGGTTGCATCTAAGAGGTTTTGGTTATTGACCCAGGAAAAGAACTTTGCTTAACAATGCTTCCATTTCAGGAAATTTTAAGGCACATAAATGAAGAACAGCACGGCAGTGCTCTACATTGAGTGCTCTCAGAGCCTCAGCAATATATCTTAGGAGTGCAGACAGATTCTAACACCATAACACTGATCTTTCAAATGCAGACAGTATTCCATCCTGAACTATTATGGTATTTATTTTCTAACTTTTCATTTGCAGATAGGTTCAAGAAACCTCCCTTATACCCATTATCCAGATTTACCTATTGTGAACATTCCCCACAGTTGTTCTATCATTCACACACTCTGTCTTATGCTTTTGTGTATACCATCCATAAGCATGTACATATCCATTTATAGGAATATATGTGTACACGCATTTTCCCTTTTTCTAAAATACTACAAGGAAATACGCATACCTCACAAACCCTTATATATTAATGTGTATTTCCTAGGAATGGGAAAAATTATCAGTTTTGAAAACATCTAACATTGATACAGTGAGTTTCTTACGACACTAAATGAACACCTGCTACCTGCCCGAGCCTTTCCCTAGGTGTTTAGCCAAGACAAATGAGTGTCTGTCCAGAGACCTATACATGAAAATACATACTTTTAACTATAAGAATTTGAAACTGAAATACTGACACATTCTCGTATCTCAGTTAACCACTATTATTTTAATTTTATGAACTGATCAAAAAAACAGCATTTACACATGTATAGCATTCTTTCCCCTCTAGTATAGGATGAGTCCCTGGCCCCTTACTATATTTATTCACCATATCATTTTAATCTTGAACCACCTCTATCGCTACTGTTTTTCAAAACCCTGGTACCTTTTCCTTTTATTTACCTAATTATTTTGGTGGTTTCTGAGATGAGGTCTCGTTATGTAGTACAATAGCCCAGGCTGGCCTCAAACTCATGGCAATCCTCCTGCTTTAGCCTCCTGGGATTACAGGAGTACCTGGCAACATGAGTATCTTTTAAAACCAAAGCTTCCAGTCTTTTTAGAATACACTGATCTTCATGTTAGGTTTGTCTGATATTTCCCCACAGTAAAGCTCAAGTTAAGCATTTCCATTCATAGGATGAAATAAATAATGCTATGTGTGACACGCAGTATGTCCTACTCGTCAGTGCTAAGATTCATTCTGATCACCCAGTCAAGGTGCTGCCTGGTTTCTCTCCTGGAAGAGTAACAATTTTATTTGCTATTTTTAAAAATCTTTAGGCAGAGGTTTTAACATGCAAATATCCCAGTCGTCATCAAAATGCAACCCTAGTTTAGCATAAATTATTGATTCATTTTTCAATCAATCTTTATTATGATAGCTACAGAATGACGACTTCCAGCGCTGTCCTTCCCTGCACATTTATCAGTCAGAACTCATGATCCTGAAAGCAAGGATTCACCCTCCCTCTCTCTCCTTCCTTCCTTCCTTTCTCTACCTTTTTTCTTTCTTTTCATTGGTTCCTAATTTTAATAGCTCATAATTCACTACTGTTTTTAATTAACTGATGTTTAATGTGTCCCAAATTTGGCAAATGAAACCTATTCAGCTCCCCTCTGTGCCCTCCTGACATGTACTTCTCTGTTTTTACTTCTGCCTTTCTGTCTTTCTTCCCTTTTTTGTTTTTAAAGTACTTCCTTTAGATGTTCCAAATACCTTTTATTCCTTTCTTGCCTCTCCTCTGGAATCAGCTGTTCCTGAGAAGAAGCCCTGCCTTCTTTAGTGAGGAAAACACCACTTATGAATTGCAGGCAACAGTTTCTCAGCGCTACTAGGATATCTTTGCTGCCCACGTCTTTCAGCAGAAAGAGATGGGAAACACGTATGTGAACACACACACACACACACACACACACACACACACACACACACACACACTAGCAATCATGAGTTCTTATACATATAAGCTCTTTCAGGTTCCTCTATTCCCATGTAACTTTTCCTCAACCTGCTCCACGCTTAGTTCACATTTTGATTCCAGTGTGGAGACTCACTCTCCAAAATATTAACATTTATTCCATCCCACGACGTACCTAAAATATACTCAAAGAACTGCTCCACCCACAGTACTTCAAAAATCAGTCGTACTAAAAGTCAGGATTTGTTTTAAGTTCTTCCCCCTTCCCACTCCTGACTAAAGGTACATATTTAAATACTGTCTTCAAAAGTTACTGCACTCACATTGATTATATTTTGTCTCTTTGGTGTGATTATACTTTTACTTAAACAACTGATGGGTTCCAGTGTTTCAGTTTTCCTTCCATTCTTGTGGATTTTTCCCATCCTTGTTGATTGATTTATAAACACATAAATTATTATTAGTATGCTTCCCCAAGTCAAACCAAATTGTGAGCCTGCAGTCTACTTCTTGGAATATATCCCCAAGAACAGAAAGCAGGCCCTCGAGGAGATACCAGAACAGCCTCATTCGTAGCAGCGTATCCACAAGAGCGAGCGTGTGACAGTGACCTGAGTGTCCACCAACAAATGAATGGATAACCTCCAGCCAGCAGTGTAGCAGTTTATCTTAAAAAAAAAAAAGGGATTCCCACAACATGGATAAACTTCAAGGACACTGCGCTAAGTCAAGTAAGCAACTCACCAAAAGACAAATACTGGATGAGTCTACTGAGACAAGGTACTTAGAACACTTAAGTTCCTAGAGACAGAAAACAGGATAGTGGTTGTCAGCAGCTAGTGGAGAAGGAAATGGGAAGTATTTAATGGATACAGAGTTTAGTTTTACACTGTCTGGAAGCTGAGGTCCTGAGTTTGATTCCCGGTATCCCCCCAAAACAGAATAGCTTCACAGGATGAAAAGAACAGCGAGATGGTACACAACACTGTGAATGTAATTCTTCCCACTGAACTATATACTCCAAAATGGTGATGATGGTCATTTATGTTATGTATAATTTACCACAATAACAAAAGAAGCATATCCTAAAAATACTACAGATAGATCAGATGATGATGAGATTAAACCCATATTAAATAATTTTAGAGTGGTTTTCTATCATTTCTATTTAAAATTAAGATCTTTTTTAGCAGCCAGGAATCTACATTAAGAGCTATTAGTAGCTGTTATAAACTGAGTAATTATAGCCTCCAAAACTCAACCCCAGATGTACTAATGTTTGAGGTGGGCTCTTGGGGAGACAATCAGGCTGTGAGCACGGAGCTGTCACAAATGGGTTTAGCCAGTCACAGAGCCTCAGCTCCTCCTACAACTGAGGACAGACACAAAGAGAAGCTGGCAGGCCTAACAGGGAGCACCCTCCCCAGAACCGGATCACCCTTGCACCCTGATCTCAGACTTGCGTCCTCTTCAACTGAGAAACACTCTTATGAAATTTGTTTAAAACAAAGGAACAAAAAGAACTTGTCACAAAAACACTAATCTGACATAAGCTCAAAAGAAGTTATCACAGGTTCCCCTACCTCATCCATCTGGTTCATCTAACCCTTTAAGCAAGCAGCTTCATAGCCTTCGGGGTTATCTTTTCTCTCTTTTACCTAAGGTGAAGCAGATATAAGTGTGCTCCACCATCACTGCTCGGTTACACACACTGTAACGCACCAAATCGATTCTTCTCTTCCCTCTTCTTTTCACTTAACAATGTCTCCTGGATATCACTCAATATAATTTATTTTTCAAGAAAACAAAATTTTGATTAATTTGATCCTCTGCTTATTTTCTATTTCATTGTTTCAACCCTTACTTTTATTATTATTTCCTTTCTTGTGCTTCTCTCATAGAATTTGTTGTACTTCTTCTAGTTTTTGAGTGGGGTATTGAATTATGTATTGTTACTGTTCCCACTGGATAGATTAAATCTTTATCTGTTGTTTGTTTTTAGACTCTGAGTGACTGACTGTTGATGAGTGTCACATAGACAGAACTAGGATTTGATTTATGGGTCAATTTGAAAAGTTCTTTCATTAGGTGAATTGAACTATTAATACTTACTGCTACAGCTAATAATGTTTGGTCTCACCACTATATAATTATTCTGGGTTTCAATTACTATATGCATCATTTTATATTCACTGTGTCTACTCATTTAAGTACATTTCTCTGCCTTTTCAAAACACACTTCTGATATTTATAAGGTGTTTCCCCTGATACTTACCATCAAGTTTAGTCTTTTTATGCTTTATTACATTTTTAGTATAACACTGCATTATTTGCAGGTTTTTTGTTTATTTTTATTTTTTGAGACAGGGTCTTGCTTTGTAATTCATATGTCCTCAAACTCACTACCCTGTACTGGCCATGAGCTAAAATAAACCTCTCTGCCTTTAAATTTTAGGTGTCAGGTATTTTTTCCCAGTGACAAGAAAGTAACTAAAACATTATGCTTCTTGGATCTGTGGTTTTACAGTTTGTATCAAATTTGGAAACTACTTCTTGAAATATTTCTTATGTACTCCTCCCTTTAGGGACTCCAACTATATGTGTTTGTGTGTGTGTGTGTGTATTGCAATGTCACTTGAAACTGTCCCATAGTTCAGTGATGCTCTGTCCATTTTCTAAAATTTATCTTTGTCCTTCATTTTGAATAGTTATTACTATAGTATTGTCAAGTTCACTGATATTTTCCTCTACAGTGTCTAATTTGCTACTTATCTCATTTAGTGGGATTTCTGCCTCAATTTTGTATCTTTTAATCATGGACTATAAAAAGCTAAAGGATGACATTAGCTTTGTTTAATCCTTTCATGTCTCTTTTTTTGATTCGTGGAATAGTTATAGCAACCAAAAACAACAGCTTAGAAAGTACTAATTCTAATACTACGATCCTTCTGAAACATATATCATCAAATGATTTTTCACCATGTTATTTCCATACTGCTTTGCACACATGGTAACTTTTGATCCTATGAATCATAGGTATTCTCCTCTGGCTGGTGGGAACAGAGACACAGTCCCATGTAAGTGACAATGAACATTTCTTCTAGTTATTCTGCTGGTTCTTTCCCCAGTCTTGAGTATTTTCCTCATACAGATGCACTGATCAGTACTGAACACTTAAGGGAACCCTCCCCAAGTCCTTTCTTTTTTTTTTTTTTTTTTTTTTTTTTTTTGTCTTTTTCCTTTTTATCGGTACCGGGGATCGAACTCACGACTGCCTGCTTTATAAGGCAGGCGCTTATGCTGCTGAGCTAAATCCCCAGCCCCCCAAGTCCTTTCTTTCTAGGAAGCCCTCACCTTCCTAGTCCTCCATCCTGAAAACTTGAGCAGCTGTGGCCTTCTGAGGCCCTCAGCTCCGTGTCTTCAGCTCCAGGAGTCTGCAGGCTCCACTTATGCCCCTTATACATAGTGGTTTGGGACTCTCGCAAGGCAGGCAGCTGGGCAATCATTTGCTTCATGTCACTCTAATGTCCAGCACCTTAAAAGCCTTTATTCCATACATTTTTTCCTTTTGGGGGGTTGCTTCAGATGGAGGGTAAGTCCTACATCTTAGAGTCCATCTTGGCCAGCAGCAGAGTAGCTACCACAGTTTTCAAATAGAAAATTTAAAGCCACCTAGGATGAAATGACTCCTTACCTTATTAATGTATCATCATCCACAATGACTAACCATGTTATCTTGCCATGGTTATGATTCAAAAATCTTTCCAAAATGGCAAATGTTTTTCCACAATGACCTAGGATAGTTAAGAAGAAAACTTCAGACACATTTGATTTCTCTGAAATACATAGAATTCATTTTTTAAAATTTTTCAAAGGGTTGTAAAAGGTTGAATCTTGACCATCTTAATAATCTGAAATTATTCTAGAAATTAGCCTTCTCTAATTTCTAACTTTCATAGGTATAATGAATTGGTGAGAACTTTTAAGATGTTGACATCTAAGCCATGGGAAAATGGAGACTGGTAGAGACTAGAGGAATTAAAGAAGATAACACAAATAATTACAGAGGAGATACAACTAGCTCTTCACTGCGGACAATTAAGAAGGTCACAAGCCTCAGTGTCTCGAGGAGCCTTATCTTTTGGAAATGTGCTTATGCTGAAGGAACTGTTAGAACTCTAAGCACTATGAGCACAGGGAAGTGAAGGTGGAAAAGTAAACATTATACCTTGATTCACTTGTTTGATAAACATTTCAACTAAGTTTTTAACATGCCAGACACAGTGGCAGGTAGGAAGACAGGCATTAAAGATACAGCACTATGTAAGGCAAAGTTACAGTCCCTCAGAAACCAACAGACAAATTATCATACTTTCATGGTAAATGCTTGATCCAAAAAAAAAGTAAAACATTGGGGAAAAATACTCAAGTTGATAAACAGGAGTATGTCCTTAGTTTCAGCTAAGTATTTGGTGGCATAGTACAATACAAACTTATCTTAACTAATTAATGTTAAACTACTCTTTCACTTTTATCTACCCTTCATTGTGTGTGTGTGTGTGTGTGTGTGTGTGTGTGTGTGTGTATGTGTGTGTGTGTGTGTGTTTGTGTGTGTGTGTGTGTGGTACTAAAGATTGAACCTGGGGCCTTTGCACTGAGATATGTTCCTATCCTTTGTTTATTTTGAGATAAGGTTTTGCTAAATGGCTAAGTTATCTGGTCTGGGCTCAAATTTGTGAACCTCCTATCTGAGCCTCCCAGACTACTGGGATTACAGAGATAAGCCATAATGCCTGGCTTTCTCTTTATATATTTTTTAATCTCTACAGTTATGTATTTTTGAAGTTTATTGAAAAAATAACTTCATTTCTTTCATAAGTATTCATTTATTTCATTCTCTCAAATTGCTTTTGGAATCAAAGAATATCCTCTTTGATTAACAATATAGGTAACAATATAGTCAGACTAGAAATAAATGAACAAATCAAAGAATGAATGAATAGATAAATAATTAGTAAAACAGCCTACACTGAACTTTTTTTTTTTTTTTTTTGTCTTTTTCCTTTTTATCGGTACCTGGGGTCGAACTCATGACTGCCTGCTTGCAAGGCAAGTGCTTAATGTTGCTGAGCTAAATCCCCAGCCCCTACACTGAACTTTTAAAAAGCAAGGTTAACAAGAAAAACTCAATCTAAAAAAGTCTTTGCAAACCAAGAACAGTAATTTCTATAAAACATTTAAACTTGCCAGAAGAATCTGTAATATCTGATTCTATCTTAAACTTTATTACTCAAGTAATTATGAGTGACAATAATATAAAACAATCAAAGTGAACTTCTGTAGAACAAAATAGCTCACTACTCCTATTTTTTTTTTAATTTATAAAAGGGTATGGGGAACCAAAAACAAAAAAAGCACTAAGACAAATAATGAAGTAGTCAGATTTCCACTGTCACTTTTTTTAATTAAAAACATTCAGCCGCACACAGTGATACACGCCTCCAATTTCAGTTACTTGAGAAGCTGGCAGAGAAGGATCACACGTTTGAGGCTTGCTTGGGCAACTTACTGAGACAGTCTCAAAAACAAGATGAAAAAATGTGCTGGGCATCTAGCTATACAGTTGAGCACTCCTGGGTTTAATCCCCAGTACCACAACAAGGGGAAAACATGTTGTTAATTAGAAAACCTGGCATCAAAGAGAAAAGCAGGTCAATTTCCAACAACATACTAGTGAAAAGATTAACACCCATGATGTAGCTTACTCTATACATAACCAGTACAGCAGCAGGGTAGGTGCTATATTCACAGGTGCATAAGAGATGGGAACCAGACCATAAAACTTAGGAGGATGGAGGCTCAGTGCGGGAAGATGACAAGTTAGCTTCGCAAATCCCATTATGGCCACGATAAACTACGAAGATACGAGAAATTTATGCTTCGACTCCATTGTAACCTCCATGTGCTCAATTAGAGCAATATAACTGACTAAAAATGTACAACTCTGCCTGCTACAAAGTCTTTAATTTGAAGAATCACTCCACACCTGAGGGTAAAGATGCTGGGCATAGGAAGAATAAAAAAACAAAACAAAACAAAAACAAAGACAGGAAAGTCTACAGTGCTATGGATTTCTTTTTACCCTGACTTGCTGTGTTTATAGGCTGAGGATTTTTGACAAACGAGAAAGAACTGAGGACGCACCTCTGTCAGTGTTGGGAATTCCCAGGTCCACAGTGGGTATGGCACTGTCTGCGTGGTCACTGTAGTATTCAACAAGGCTCGCCTGTCGCTCCCAAGTCTGCTTTACAATGGGTACTGAAAGACACAGTGGTGACAGTCACTGGTACAGTACTACAGGAAGCCTGAGAACTCGAAACGGCAGCACACGCACCTGCAAATGAAGCACAGAGTCTTGTATTCTCCGGGAGTCCCAAGACCTGGAGAAACGGCAGCACATGGCTAAAATCCGCTCCCTGAAGCACTTTTAAAACGACCTAGAGTCAATCTCCCATGTCTGATGATAGTTATTCCAAAGTCAATTTTGTAGTCTGTTTATAATGTCCCATCTGAATGAATTCCCTTTCCTCTTTTCCTGATAGGCTATTCCACTTTATCTACCCCCCAATGCAGTTGTTAAATGTGTTTCTGTCAGGTGGTGTTACAGCTGGGATCCAAAACATCCTCCCAGCAGGCTCATTTCTTTCTAAGTCCGGTGGCCGGTTGAGGGGCTCTCTCACCCTCTCTGCTTCACAGCTGCCCTGAGGTTAGCCTTCCCCCACCTCCCCCGCCTGCGGGATGTTCTGCTGCACCACAGCCCTGAACCAATGGATCCTAAGGCCTTGGACTATGGTCATGAATGAATCTTCCTCCTAGGTGTCTTTCTCAAGTACTTGGTCACAGTGAGGAAGACGTGACTAACCCAACGGGAAACAGAACTACCTCTGCTGAGTGGAATATCTGGTACGATTCCAGCTGAGATGCGCGCTGTCCCTCCTAGAATGGGGACCTTTCCCAGTGGCACATGCCGCTGCCCAGAGACCAAGCAGGCTGCCCAAATCTACAGCGAGCATGGTCTTGCTACTGATAATCACTGCATATGGTGACTGATTTAATGGCATACATTTGAAAAACGTGGGAGAAATAAAATTGAGATTCACTGTAGGCTTTAAAACTATCAACAACAGATAAACTGGGTGTTTAAAAACTGTTTGATTTTTTGGTAGTGGAGACTGAAGCAGGGTCTTTGCACTGAGCTACTTTGTTGTTGTTTGATTTGGGTTTTGTTTTTTGTTTTGTTCCATGTTGTTTTTCCCTTTTGAGACTACTGAGTTCAGGCTGGCCTTGAACTCCCTTTGCAGGGCAGGCTGAGTGCTGGGATTACAGGTGTGTACCACTTTGCCTGGCCTAGAAACAGCTAAGTGGTTGAAAACAAGAAGCATTTCAAGTTTAGATGCTCGACAAGTAACAGAATTTGCATACCTGACATACAGACAGCTGCTGACCTGGAATTAATTCATATCCAAGTAACTGTTTTCTTTTCTCTGTGTATTTTAAAATTACTATCTGTGTATCTCTGTTTTAAAAGGAATTTCTGCTGGTGTTTTTATAGGGAAGAATGTATTCAGATTTTAGACTCTATTAATTTAAGAATCTTCACCCTCATGAACCAAATCTTCACCAAACTTTTTGAGATTTTATTAGTAGTGTATTTTCCTTTACTCCAACTCAAATTAAAATAAACTATATGCAAAAACTGTCACCACAGTGTGAACTCTAAATATTTAGCTAAAGTAAATCAGCAAGTTTGAGTCCAGCTCAGATATCCTTAACTCACATACAAATTTTATAATCCACTGTTTATCAGCCTTTTAAAAAATTATAAATTCTGAATACTGATAACATTATTACCAAGTTATCCATTAAGTATTTTCACATATTAAAATATCATTTTCTATTAACACAGAGAGGCAGACACTTAATGAAGGTTTCTTCCTGTCTAAATGGTCACTAAAAGAAGAGCTGTAGGAGGTCAAGAAAAAATGTTTTTTAAAACTTCACTCTGTTCTACTTCCAAACCTCAGCGCAACAAAAATCTTCACCATGAAGCTGCAGTTGCAGTTGGTTTTGCAAATAATAAGCAAGAGGACTTACCCCAGCAAGGCTCTCTGCAGCTTGCAGCGACTAGAAGTTCACATATTTGGGTAAAAAATCCATTGCGTACTGCTGGAAGAGGCTGGGAGGAGAGCTCAAGAACCTTCCTCAGTTCTCAGCATGGGTCCTTCAGCCTGTGCAAAACCTACTTCAATTTCCACAGCCTTTAGCCTTGTCCTTTTGTTCCAATAGCTTTATTAAACAGCACAGGTGTTTCTCCTCAATTATCTAATTTAAATAAAATTAAAACCTAATCAAATGTGAGCTGGCTCTCTGCTCTACCTGACTAGTTAACTTCAGTTTTAGTGTGAAATAGAAATTTCAACAAAGGTAAGAACTTCTGTATGATTCAGTCTCTAATGTCTGGCACAATGCCTAGGACATAGTAGTCACTCAGTGAATCCTTGAATGAGTAATTCAAAATCCTTGAATTTTGTAAGAGTCGCATTAACAGGTATAGAACTAATTTCATAAAAGAACTTAAAAAATTTTTTTTCATAACAGTAATTTATCTTTTGGTACAAAACTGGTGCCATCATTAACAATCATTTAAAATTAGCCCAAACATTTTTATAAGTGAGATATTATGATTCTATAGTGCCTAATACATTAGTTTGTATCAGTCTCACATCATTGCTATGCTTTTATTTGATCTTCTATCTGTAAAGGATCTGAAGGTAAAGGCTTTCAAAATAGCAAGTTAAGGTTTCATCTTCAACGAGGGTTCATCCCAAATTGAACTTTTAAAATACTGGCCTATGTTATTAGCATAGTCTGAATTCTAAAGTGAGTTCTTTTTTACAACTATTTCACACTGTATTAAACCATCTACTTCTAGAGTTACACGATAGCTCATTTTCAATAAAGAGAAGCATGCTTTCTACCACGTAATGAAATAATAGTGAGCACTCTTTTCAAGAAGTTTGACATAGGACAACTTCAAACTGGAGCAAAGTAAACATTTTACTATTAAAAAAAAAAAAATCCCAGGTGCACCAGTGGCATAAATCTTTGTTAGAGCTTTCCAGATTTAAGTAGGAGCTGGATCTCACTATGAGGTAAAGAAACACACATTTTTACTCCTGGTGAATTTACTTCTGAAACTGTCTAACATTATGGATGAAAATGGACTGACACTTGGACATTTTAAAAATGTTCAATCAATCAAGTGTAATGTACCACATAAAGCTGAAAAGCTATTTTAAAGAATCTGCTATTTTCAACTGGTAAATGGATCTTTTGTTCTGTATGTGTTAGTAATCACAGCATAAAACCCTGATTGCTCTTCTCTTCTCAGTAGGGCATTGAGGACACACATTTGAGCTTTAATTCCTCATTTTAAAGACCGAAGTATACCTAAGACTGAAAAGCATCCCTCCTCGCTGACCTAAAACAAGAGCTGGAAATAAGCTGGAGTGTCATTAACTCTTCAGCAATGATGGGAAAAACTGACCCAGCCACTCCTGACGACCTCCCTCTTTAATAATTAATTTAATCACTTCATCTGACCGGAGTGTGGCCTTCTATCTTTTTAAGACAAGCCTCACTTTTTAAATAAGCAGACTATGCCTCAGGACCTGTAACCTCTTCCATAAGACAGAACCCCAGTTACCAAACACTCCTAATAAATTTGTTCCAATTTGCCTCTTCGCAGCAGTGAAGAGAAAAAAAAGGTTTTGACCCTTTTTAACTTGAGTAAGGTATTTACTTTTAAAAGCTCAGGAAGCTGTGAAAAAGAACTACAGATGAGCAAACAGCGAGTTGACCTCTTTAATTAGAGGGAGACTGACCTAAGGTTTTCTTGACAGCTCGTGTCAAACAATGAAAAACCCATAACCAAGAGGAAGTCATCACGCTGCATATTAAAACCCCAGTGATGAATCAGCTCTGCCTGATGTATCAGCATACACAATAGTTTTAAAGTTTCTTCAAAACCCTACTGCAGGGGTAAGGGAAGGGACTAGTTCTTCTTTTTTCCCAGCCGTGCTTGAAGGGGCTGGGGTCTGGCTGTCGCCCAGCAGCGGTGGCCTGTACATCATGCTAGTTCACAGGGAGGGCTTGCTTCTTAATGAACTCTCTCCACAATGGTGAACCTTTTAGAGATGAAACTGCAACCCAAAATCTACTTATTAATCTACAAAGTGCCAACATTGGAATTAAACCTGAATACTGAGGTTTTAGTTTACAAAAAGTAACTCCTATATTAACAGTTTCACTTAAAAAAATAATAACACGTGCCATAGGTTCACTACCACTTCTCTACTGCAGAATCTAGACAAATGTAGCGATGGAGAAATTTCACCTTCAGCCCAAATAAAATATATTTAAGATTTTTTTAAAATTTTGGACGTTGGTGTTATGAGAATACTCAAAAAGAATTTAATACATGTGTTCCATGTTTAGACCTTATCCTCATCAGGGAGGAGATCAACATTAATAAAACAGTGCATGCCCACAAATACTGCCCCTTCTCAACTGTTCAAATGCAGGCTCTTATCTATGGTTTTTTCTTTCACTGATGTTTAACTTCTGTTCCTTCAAGTATTTCCAACACAGAGTGCACAGAGTATAGGAAAAAGAAAAAAATGACCCAGCCCATGTACTGTGGTTGACTGTAGCAGTAATTTGCTTGGACAGGGTGGCAGTCTAAATTCCCAGCCTGATGTGTCTTGTAGATCATGTGTGGGCTTCAATTCTTTGTAATACTCATTGCTAGTGAAAATGAAAACCTACTTCACAGCTTCTGACCAAGTCGAAGCTGACCTTGAGCACAGCAGGAAATCAACATAAATATCAAAGACAATTTATGCAGTGTTGGGTTCACCACATGGCCAAGGAAATTACAGTATAGTTGTGCTATAGCAGAGAGAACATGGGGATTCAGAAGCTTTAAACTCAAGTCTTGCCTCCCTATTCAGCAGGCCACAAGGACTGAAGGCAACTATGCATCATTCCATGCTCAGCTTTCTCCAAAATATCAAGTGAACTGTCAACATGAAATTTAATAATGAATTACTGTAAACGTGAAAAACACACAAGAAAAAATTTTAAAAAGTAAGGGTGAGAGAAGAAGCCATGCCCTGAGAACCTGCCATCATTGGGATGGCATCAGTGAGCTACCACCCCACCACTTGCCATCACCCAGGAACTTCGGATCAGAGGAACCAGGTGCCTAGCCCAATGCCCTACATCACAGGGCACTGCCTGCAACAAGTGCAGGAAGCATCCAGGACTTATCAACAAGCTGATTTGGAAGAACACAGGAAAATGTCAAAATGAAGGAGCAATCTCAGACCTCTAGCTCACCCAGAACAAACCCAGGAGACATAGGCACAAAATAAATCAGAAGTTACACACCTGAAATTTCTGAAATGATAGCAAATGAAGTAAAGAAACAATTTAGTGCCTGTATTGTTTGATTAATTTTGCATGCCTTTATCTCACCTAGAACAAGTCCAGGAGACACAAACATAGAAGAAATTAGAAGCCACACTCTTGAAGTTTCTGAAATGATAGCAACTGAAGTTAAAAAAAAAAAAAATGAAAGCAATGGTCACAATACCTGTTAGGGTTCATGCAAGTTACAGATCCAAATTAACATCAACGAAATCAACAATTTGACCTTGGGAAGTTTGTTTCTAAAGCTCTCAACAGGCTTCTAAGATTTTTCAATTTTCTTTCTTTTTGTTTTGGTACCAGGAATTGAACTTAGGACCTTGCATTTGCCAGGCAGGTGCTTGTGCCCACTGAGCTATATCCCTGGCCCATTGTCCTAATCAATTCTGTCTTGTTTTTCTGACCTGTTCTGCCTCTAAGTCAGTTGCTCTTCTATAGGGACCTAGGATTCAGGAACAAGAAGATAAGATCCATAAATATTCTGTGACAAGTACTGAAACTAGTGTTCAGTTCAGGCAGGAGCAAGCTTCTTCTCCAGTTTAACTAACGATGAGACAGTGCTCAGCCAGACCCGAGACAGTAACCAAGACCTCCTGCCTATGCACGCTTCCTGCCTCCACTTCCATTCTTCCCCTACATAAAACTTAAGCTACTGCCAATACACTGAAGACAGAGTTGAGGATGCTGGGTGTTATGGTTTGTCTAGATGTTCTTGCAAAGCCTTGTACAATTACAGGCGTGGTATTTACCCACTGGCCTAGTGACAAATACCTGTAATCCTAGCACTCTAGGAGGCAGAGGCAGGAAGATTACAAATCTGAGCCCAGCATAGACAACTTAGCAATTTAGGAAGGCTCTTATCTCAAAACATCAAAAAATGGGGCTGACGATGGTTCAGTCCCTAGTACCACCCCCACAAAAAAGATGACATGTATCAAAATTATTTCACAAAGCCCTTCTAGACTATGAAAAAAGGAAAATGATACTGAATTTAGGTTAAATTTATGATAAATAAAATATATTTAAAAATGTTATTAGTACATGTTTGCATTCCTCGTGGGGACCTGGAATATGTACATAAGACACTCTAATTCTGTTTTCAACCTTTCATCTCATAGTTCCCTTCCTTTTCCAAAAGATCTATCTTCCTATTTCCTACTGATCAATGAAACTTACTTAAATTGCTAAACTGATCCCTACTAGTATTTTAGGGCTTTCTGAAGAATGAATTTATATACTTATTTAGTCAGATTTAATAGGATTTGAAGTTTGACATAACTATTTCCAGCAAACGTGAAAGCTATGGTTAACAAACATTTAGGATATTGTTGTTTAGAAGTAGATTTTAATTCTTGTTGATGATTTAAGCAACACTGCAATCCGAACCTATAAATTTTTTTACTTAGGAAGTATCCTCCCTTTTAAAAGATAATTTGTGTGCATCATGTTATCACATAAAGTCTATAAATGTATTTATCCCATCACTCCAATCCCATAAAAATGACAGCTGGTCTAGAAATCTCTCCCACATAAATATCACACCCTTGGTTGAAATCGACAGCCTTTTCATGGAAAAAATTAAAATATAGGCTAAAATTAGAAAATGAAAAAGATTGACTAATTTTCAATATCAGAAAAGTGTTGTCTAAAGTGAGGTTTAAGAGGAGAGAAATTATGTCTATTTATATTTAGGATGGACCTTCTAAAAAAAGTTACCAACATAACTAGCAAAATGTTATAATGATACCAAGAATAAACCAAAACAATATTCACCTGCATGCAAGGTTTCTTTAGAAAGGGTCACTCCCTCTAATGTGGCTTTCCTTTTTTCCAATATATCTTCTCCCAACTATGTGTCTTTATTGAAAAATTCCAACAGATGCATTTGGAATAAATCTTTTTTTAAAAAGGAATAGCTTGGACACTTGAAGACTACAGCGGAAGAGAACAAGAAGCCAAGCCCTCCTTGCGAGCCGGTGCTGTGTGGGTGACTGTGGGGACAGCCAGATGCCAGCCCTTTCCCATGAGTCAGAGCCATTCACAGACTGTGCGGGAGAACAAGAAGCCAACAAGAAGCCAAGCCCCCCCTGCAAGCTGACGCCACATGCGAGCTGCTGTGGGGAGAACCAGATGCCAGCTCCTTCCAGCGTGTGGGCTGGAAGCCAAGAGAAGCCAAGGTCCAACCCCAAGAACAAATGGCTGTGATGATAGCTCTTATTGAGGTAAAACACAACTTAATGCTTGTAGTATTCAGTGTTTCACTGACTTTGCAGGTCTAAAGCCAGTAGTCTGATCATCTACTCAGAAAATAACAACATACAATGTAGCATTTATGGGGGATCTCTTTCTGAGGGTGGTAGCCACTGTCAATTCCCTATTATCTTTTATGAGATCCTATATCATTTTCATTGTTTTGTTTGGTTAGGTTTTATTCTGTTTTTCTTATTGGATTTTATTATATCCGATGCAGCTATTTTAAAGATAAGCTATATTATGGTAGCCATTTTGGATTTAGTATTACCCTGTTTTGAAGTCCTCTATTGCATTCATTATTTTGTTTTTATTGGTTCTTATGTTCTGTTTTGTTTGATTTTTACTATGTCTGAAGTTTTACTATGTCTGAAGCTACTTCAAAGACAACAAGAGGCATTATGGTAACCATTGCTGATTTCCTATTACCCTTGTTTTGAAGTCCTGTATCACTCACACTGTTTTGTTTTGATTTGCTTTATTCTGTTTTATTTTTCTTGGCTTTATTCTCTTTAAAATAAAAATCACCAAAAAAAAAAAGGTACAGTTTTCAAAAAAACACTCTTGATTGACATTCTGTTACCTTGACATCTCAGAGACTTTGCATGCACATGATGAGACACTGTTTTACAAATATTCTGTTAGGGGCGTTTTTCACCAATACTACCACAGCTGGGTTTTTTCAGTTTTTAAGACTCTGCTCTAAACAGTATTTAAAAGAGCTTTCGCCACTTGTATTTCAATACAAAATTGTCCCTCCTAATTGATCGTGGTGACTGCAGTGGTGAGATGAGTCATATTGATTAAATAATAACTTTCATTGCAGCAAGCTATTCCATGATTTCCTTTCTTGCTTAAATTTCTAACTGGCTTGTACTTTATTTATTGCAAGCACAGCTTGGATTTTTAAAGTTCAATAAAAATGAATAGCCCAAAACGTACTTCTGTCACCGTGAAATTTCTTGCATGTTTTTACTGCAACAAAAATATCTTCCTTCTTCACTGGTTTTCCCTAAAAAGCAAGAAAAAAAAAATACATGTATTTATGAGTCAACATTTTCTTAACTTTATGCCCACATTAGATCTTACAAACTCTAGAATTCAAATTAACCAATGTCACAGATATCAAATTTAGTTGATAAGTTAAAGTTCTATAGGAAAAAAGGAACTGTAATTAGGCTGACAGCATAATCTCTGGACCTGCTTCCTACCGTGCCAAATTATAGATGGTGAATCACAGTAACAAATCTCTTGAATTCTCTGAAAAAGGGAAGAGTAACTACTATAAGGATGCTATGATTACCACAATTTATTAAGCACACAGTAGGTGGCCAGTAAATATTAGTTGCCCTTCTATTTCTTTTCCTGGCTGAAGATTTTGACAAAGGGAAAGAAGTAGGGAGATGACTGACTTAGTGTAAAAATAAGTGATGACTCACTTTCCAGGCCCAGCTTTACTTTGATGTTGAAAGTTATTTTTATGGCCCCTTTTTGGTTATCCAAGTGTAGGTCAAGGATGTTCTGTCCTCTGCCAAAAGTAAGATTGCTTCAAACACCTGTGGAAGGGTCACACAGACGAAAGAAGCAAGCAGAGGGATTTGTCTATGATGCCCCCTCAGGCTTTAATTGCTTCTTGGTGGGTGAGGGCTGCTTGGCCCTCTCTACTACCTGTCTTAGACCTAGAAAAACATTCAGCCATGACTCCGCCATCATTTGGGGCTGATGCAAAGTGACACCTAACCCCAGCTCTGTCATGCTGCTCAAGGGCCTAGGAAGAGCATTAAAGAGCAGGCAAGCATTATGCTTAGAGAGACTGGTTTCCTCTTCAGAAAGAGCAAACAGTACCAAGTCCTTCCACTGTCATCCTGTGGCGTGTGTGTGTGAGATTCAAGCCTTCTGTGTGACTGACTTGAGAACAATACACAGGGTGTGAGGTTGGAAAATATATTTTCCCCTTATGAGAAAAAGCTGGTTAACAACCTAGCAAGTTTGAGTCTTCAGGCTCCTCCTGAGGACTGGATCATAAACCAGCCAGAATCAGTAAGTGCTCTCTGAAAGTTCTGGATAGTATCAGGAGAAATCAAAAGCAGAGTCACCTGCTGAGATAGTAACAGTATTGGACCTGTGGGGAAGACTTGGGTATTCCAGAAAATGTCTACAATTGCCTTTCTAGGAAACAGAGTAAAAATTCTAATCAACAAATAATGTACCATGAACAAGAAAAATAACCGTGGGCACACCACTGTGAAAGGTCTAAGAAAGTGCCAGACACAACCTTCTCTGCCCTCCCCTTCTCCCCAGGCTGTGTATGCTTCAGGAAGCATCTGATTTAACAATGGCCACTGCTATGGGCAGCTATTTCAAAGACAACAAAATATATTATGGTAGCTATTACTGATTTCTTGTTATGTTGTCTTGAAGCCCTATATGGCTTTCATTGATTTGTTTTGACTGATTTTATTCTATTTTGTTTTGATTTATTATGTCTGATAGTATAGGCAGCTTACTTTGAAGATAATAGGAGGGATTATGGTAGCCACTGTTGTATTCCTATTATCTTGTTATGAAGTCTTGTATTGCTTTCATTGTTTTGTTTTGATTGATTTTACTCTGCTCTGTTTATTTACGCCTGATGGTATGAGCAGTTACTGTGAAGATAACAAGAGGCATTATGGTAGCTATTACTGATTTCTATCTTGAAGTCCTGCACCCCGTTCACTGTTTAGTTTTCACTGGCTCTACTCTTTTTATTTCATTTGGTTTTATTCTCTTCAAAATAAAAAAATAATAAACACAGCCACTTTCTACTTTAAAAAACAAACAAACAAAAACAATGGCCATGCTCTGGGAGCTGTTCTTTGGCAGGGTCATTCTTTGTTCCTCTTCCTTTTGCTCAGCATTCTCAGTTCTAAAGCTGCACCTAAATTATTAAGGAGGTAACCGCTAAATAATTCTCTTTAGATTCACAAAAGCCCAAATTCTTGTTGATTTTAAGGTATCAGAATGTACCTTCTTATTCCTTAATTCTGTGCATCAACTAACATAAAGCATACAAATTATTGTAAAATTTAACTTGCAGAAAAAATATATCTAATGAAGCATAAAAATGAACTCCAGATCAAGGCCCATTACAAAAAAGGCACAAATGTCCTGGATGACAAAGATCCTTTTTAGTGCTTAGCTTTCCGCCCATTGTCCTCTGGTCTCTTTCCCTCCATATGAAAGACTTCTGTGCCCTGCGTTCCCTGAGTGGGAATCTGAGACAAGGCTCCCCACCTTCTGAGGATGCCAGCTCTTGATAAATGTATTTCCTCCCCACCACTATTCTGCTCCCAGGGACTGGCTTTGTAGTGCAAGCAGCCAGGCTGGGCTTGCCTCTCCTCTCCTACGGAAGATGGGTGTCAGCACTCATTTCCTGCCTGATTGTCACTAGACGCAAGATACGGGGTTCTGGTCTGGCCGAGCGCAAAGGTTGTCTGTCCATTTGTTCTTAGTGTGTAAAGTATGGGGACAATGTAATGGGTAGTGTGTCAGTCTTCCTTTGGCCTTCAAGGTGAAGAATTTCTTCTCTGATTACTTACACAAAGTGGCAGGAACGAATGGAATGTGGTAGCGCAGTAGGAGTCCAAAACATCTGTACAGAACTCAGGCACGGGAGTAAGGGGAGGTCCTCCGCCTTTGTCCCAGATGTAGAGGGCAATCTAGCAAGACAAGAGAAGGCATGAGGAAGGCGGGCAGCCGACTCCAGGAGGCCACACACTCAGAAAGTATCTCAAGGGAAAGCACAAAACACCTTCCAGGAGTGCTAGGTAACTCAAACCAATTTGTTAATATTTAACTGGATTTTTAAACTTAAAAATTGTAATGTCATATATATTAAATAATCAACCTGATCTTTCATTGGCAATAAACAATTGATCATATTTTCTGATCTTTAAAAACTTTCAAAATGATGATAGCAATTTCAGGGAAGAACACATTCTAGAACAAGGTGGAGACAGATGTCAGGAAATAATATCAGAGCTCTGGTTTCCTGCAGTCCATTGGTCATCCACCCTGAAAGGCAGACTTACTGAACACAAAAAAAGTTGGATACCATGTCTTTAAATGTGTTTTAAATGTATTGCTAAACTAACCCAAAAGTACGGAAGCTGTGAGGACAAAATTATAAACATGAACACCTGAGGGAGGAGGCACCAAAGGGGGTTTGCTGGTGGGATCAGCTGACCTTCGAAAACAGTTTCTGATGAGAGTGAATGAAATGAGTCAGTGAAGTCTGAGGATGAGGCAAATTAAAGCTGGCTCTTTGGAGCCACGTGACGGGCAAAACAATCTCTAAATTTCTTCTTAGATTCTGTAACCGAAAGTTAGGTCTCCCTGGTCTGTGAGGCTTAAGAACATGTCAAACGCGGCAAAGTATTCCTAAATCAGCACAGTATAATCTGCTAGCAACAGGCAAAAACTAACACGAATCTTATGGTGAGAAACCGAAAACCTTATTGTAGGCCGCCAAGAACTGCCAAGACAGTTTCGGGAAGCCATGAAAAAATCACAGTGTGCACAGAGTAGGAAGCAAGTGATGATGGCCGGGAGCCAGCAGGCACAACTTACACTCACCAGACGTCAGGTGCAAGGCTGATCAAACACAGGCTATAAAACCACTATGGTTAACATTTTTATAAAAGAAAAAACTTCAAAACACGAGCAAACTTTAGAGAGATCATATGAAACAAGACAATAAATTTGAAACGTAAGTGAATACAACCCTTGAAATAAAGAATAATTAACATGAAAACATAATGGTAAGGAGAAACAGCGTATTACATACAGCTCAATAAAAAAGAAGGGAATTGAAAAATAAAGTCCCTCAAACTATCTAACAGGCAACACAATAAGAAATCAAAATGGAACATCTAAGAAAAAATTCATACCTCGAGGATACATATGAAGTTCCTTAAGGAGATAGAAAACAGAGATGATAAAATAGCTCAAAAAACAATAGCTAGGACTTTTCAAAAACTTGCTTAGTGAAGCTATTATATAAAGGACCAAGAAATACTAAGCAGGAATGCAGAACAGTTGACATTTAGATATACCATATAACACTGTAGAGCATCAAAGTCAAATAGTAAAAGCAGACAGAAAACGACAGATGACCTAAAAGGAACCGCGTTAGTCTCAAGACAGATTTCCTAACGTTACAGCAGAATCCAGAATGCCTTGGAATCGTATCATCACATTGACTGGCAACCAAGTACCGTACACATGCTGTAACTGTGAAATGAATATTTTTAGAGGAAAAAAAGTGAGAATTTGAGACTCTTAAAAAGGTATTTCAGTAAGAACTGAAATGATCCCGAGAAGATCTAAAAAGTAAAACAGAATAGTATACCAAAGATGCTGACAAATATCTAGTAAAGATAATGCTAAGTTTAACTGCTTAAAGTACTGAAAATAGCTAGTGAGAGGGGGCAGAACTACTGGATAATAACAGCCCATGAATTAAGAAGGAGGTACCAGTTAAAATTTTCTATAATCCTTCAATATTCGGGGCATTAACTAGCCACTGTTAGGTCAAAAAGGCGTGTTAAAATACTTTAAATAAAGTATAATCAGAGAGATTCCGTTTCCAAAATAGTAAAGGAATAAAAATATGGACTAAAACTAACAAGAAAAAACCCAAAAAAGTTTTTAAAAGAAAAATAGAAAAGGAGGGGGTAAAGTGATAGAAATCAACTCAAATACATTAGTAATCACAACTGATGTAAGATATAAATGTGTTATCTGGTTTTAGGATAATGGTGATCAAACCAAGAAGGAAAAAAAGCATGTCCCCTTTAAAAAAAAAAAAAAGACACATCTAAAAATAAGGGTGAAAAAAATTTAAAATAAGAAAGACGATTGTGAAGCCAAAGAAAGCTAATATACAAAAATTTATGCCAATAAAATACACAGACCATTACTATAGATGACAGGTCCACTAAGAAAATGCAACAATTCTAAGGGTGTGGTGCATTAATACAGCCTCAGAGTACAAAAGCACAAGCTGACAGCTCCACATGGAGTCACTTTCAACTCTACCATTACCAGGGAAGATTTCTACTCTGCTCGCTTAGTAAATGATAAATCACCCGCCCCCCAAAAAGATGAAACAATGTAAAAAAGGAAAAAGAAAGAAAAAATATCTGCACGGTATAATTAATACATTCTTTAATCAGACAGATGAGAGAGCACTACAGCCCCACACTGGAGAATATACAGCCTTTTCTTTGTGTGAAAACTGAACATGAGGTAGGCCATAAAATAAGCCTAAAAATACATCAAATAACTGGCAGACTACAAAAATGCTAAGTCAGAAATCAGTAACAAAACCACAATATCAAATAACAAGTTTGTTGGATCACCAAAAAAATGCTATTACAACTTCACAGAAGCAATATAAACATTATGTCCAGCACTATAAAAATGTTAAAGAGCCTCTGCCTTATTAGAGAAATCTTTGCAGATGACTATCATCTCACGCATCAAAATATCCATAGAAACCATGATCATAACAGCAAAAAGACAGCAGCCACTCAGAAGCCCATTAAAAAGAAGAATCAAATGAATGAATTTTGGCACAGCCACTTATGGTAAGAGATCAGGAAGAGGAGTCACATTAAGGGAAAACACGTTAAGTAGAGTGGCATGCACTAACACTGATCAATTTCTAATCAGAGTAATTCATGGTGCAATTCTATTCTATAAACTTCAAAAAGGTGCAAAACTTCATCTTATTCAGAAATACATTTATATGTCATAAAATATAAAGAAATGTAAGGGGAAAAGAGAATTCAAGAATGTTTACTCTGGTTTTTTTTTTTTTAACTATGACCTACTTTCTAAAAAATATGTTTTTCTTTGTGACCAAATATATTTAGGCATGTTATTACTGTGTCTTAGTTATTATATTCAACTTAGTGTTACTGTAGTCTATACAGTAATCAATTGAAATTTTTAGATTTACATTACCTACTTCAGTATGCTAAATTATTACAAATGGAGAATAGAGTATATAGTCTCTAATTTGGGGGTACGACACTCTCTCCATATCCCTTATCAAAGGGGACCTCCACCGAGAAGAAACACAGGTAACTTCAAAGCAATTGGCAATATTTTCTTTCTTAAACCAACTACGCTGCACAGGCATTCTTTTAAATGATCTTTGTATCTTTCACATTTGTTAGAACATTTCACAGAATCTCAAGCCTAAGCATCTATTCCAAAATTGACGCTTCATCAAGTATTTCTAGTCTGGTTTACAACAAGTCATTTTTTCCTTGTTGTAGAAGAGAAGACACTTTCTTAAAGTGTATTTGTCCTCAGATAATCTGTTTCCTCATTTGAAAACGTCCAAAAAGTGAAAAGTCTTGTGTATGAGCTTTTCATCCATGAGAGGCTGTCCAACCAGTGAACTGAGTAATGGGTCAAGAGTCATCTCAGTGTCCTTGGATAGATTCCTGCAGAGTGAAAAGTCAGGCTGTTTCAGATACTCAGACATGCCCACGAATGAAATGTGGAAGGATCCCTGCTTACGAGTAATTTGGAGCAATTAATAGCAATGACATCTGTCACCTGTTCAAGATAACTGGTCACAGATAACCCAGAAATGCAATGGAACCATGGATGCCAGGGGCTGGCATTGCACACCACAGCTGCATACTTGAGACCGACTGGCTCAGTTCTGCCCCAAGCACAGGCACACAACAGTGAAATATCTTATTCTTCTCAGGCTGCTATGAAAAATACCACACATGAGGTGATTTACAAGGAATATTAAATTATTCCTCACAGCTCAGGAGGGTAGGAAGTCCAAGATCAAGGTGCCGGCAGATCTATATCCAATGAGCATCTGCTTCGTGGTCCATGGATGGCATCTCTTTTCTGGGTCCTCACATGGTGCAAAGAGGGAAACAGTTCTCTGGGGTCTGTTTTATCAGGGTGCTAACCCCCTTTATTAGGACTCCAACCCCATGACCTAATAATTTCCCAAAGTCCACCATATTAGGAATTTTGCTTAAAGAGGAATTTGGGGAAATATACACAAACATTCAGTCTACAGTGGCAGATGTATAGCCAAAGCAACAAGTTAATAGCAGAGATATTTTTAATGACATTTTTGTATGTTTTTTTGAAATCTATTTCTGGACCCACCTAGCTACTTTAAAAAGAAAGAATCATGAATCATGAGATTCAATATTTTTCACTTCTTCTCCTCCACCTATATAACTAAAATTGGCTTAAAAGAAAAGGCTCTAACTCACCACAGTACTGTGAAATTATCTCAGTGGGGAAAAAACAGGTGTATATTAGGGAAATGCAGTAGTAGGGAATACAAAACACCTTTTATATCAAAAAACATGAATTTATTTTTTTTTAGTTTTTTGAGGATTAAACTCAGGGCCTTGTGCATGTGTTCCATCACTGAGTGACATCTCCCCAACAAGATCGACTCTTCATTACTAAGACTTTTAATCAAACAAGCCATGACATACCTCATGTTTTAAATCTATTGTAAAGTCGGATTTCAAGGATTCACTCTTTAATCTCTTGGTGAGCCTAGAAAATAGAGACAATTGATTTTTTTTTAACCAGAGAAAATGTCAAACAAGAACAATATATTCCTGAGACTGTCTAATATTTGAAAATAGATACTGGTATCAATTTTAAGATAACAGTAAGAGTTTAATGTCCTTGAGGGAAAAGAATAAGAACACACTATGGTTTGCTGATCAGTGCATAAATAAAAAACTTGCTGCAAATTGCAGATACAGCATTTGTTATTTTAACATCTGTCCAATAACATCCAATCCAATCCAGTTCAATGCCGTGGGAAAAAACTTATGAATTTTGTTGCCATAATTGCCCTTGCATTTAATGACAAGAGTTTAAAAGAAAAAAAAGTGTCCACCATAGATAAACAAATGTTGCTACTTTTAATAATCTTAATGAATTATTAGATTGTGGTATCTTAAGGGGGAAAAAAAAGCATGTGGGTTTAGGGAAGAGTAACAGTTATTTTTATTCAAGATTTTCTTTTTTCTTTAAAAAAAAATTCCTCCGTGGTTCCTTTCCAGGAGAAACAAGCCTAAAAATCCTGACAGGCTTGAGAGTGCAGCTCCCCTCGCCATCTGCCACAGCACACTCCTCCCTACCGGACAGCTGCCTACTGTGTCTGCAGCCAGCCCTCCTCAGCAACTCTTCCCAAATCTCAAGACCAAATGCAAGGGCACCTTCTCTGGAAAGCTCTTCCAGACCTGCCCACTGGAATGAGACCTTCCTTTGTTCCCCAAGTACAAAGCACAGCCCTATTACATGCATTAAAATATGCCTGTACTTAGATTCTGTTTGTATCAACAGCACTGCCCATTGTAGCTGGACAAGAACTCCTCGGAATTACGTACATACCAAAAAATCACTTAAATACCACAGGTCTGTATTTGTTTATAGAACTCAACACTGGGTTATCAGTTTCAATTACCAATTCCCTAGTACATATTTTTTTATTTATTTTGAAGAGAATAAGACAAAACCAAACCCTGAACATGACACATGACTTCAAAACAAGGCAACAGGAAACCAACAATGGCTACCTTAATGCCTTTTGTTATCTTCAAAATAGCTGCCTATACCATCAGACATAATAAAATCCAAACAAATCAAAATAGAATAAAATCAATCAAAACAAAACAATGAAAGTAGTATAGAGCTTGGAAATAAGATAACAGAAAATCAACAATGGCTACCATAATATATTTTGTTATCTTTGAAATAGCTGCCCATACCATCAAATATAATAAAATCAAACCAAAGCAGAGTAAAACCAAACAAAACAGAACAATGAAAACAATACATGGCTACAAAACACGATAATAGGAAATTAACAATGGCTACCACCTTCCCTTTTCAGACACCTCCCCCCTTCCACTTTCACAATATCCATTGTGCCTTTTGGATCCCACTAACTCCCTCAGTCTCTTGTCCTAGGGAGACAACACAGTGTTCACCCATGTGACTCTGAACCATGTCACCCATGAGCACCGTCTGGAGTTGCTTCCATTTACCTATAAGAGCCTTGAGGTTATCCTTCTTTATAGCTAGGTAGCTTTTCACTGTATAAACATGTCATATCTTTCTTATCCATTCTGCTGATGAGCAAACTACCCTGCCTTTTCCTTATTCCCTGTCACATGGAGCATTGTTTTCTCTCCTTTGAAGATCAGTCTATGAACTTCCTTTCGAGTTAAATGTGATTCTTATATAAAACCTATTGATAGATCCTGTCTCCTGATCCACTATGTCTGTGTTTCTTTTTATTGGTGAATTGAGGCCATCGACATTAATGGTTACGGCCAACATGCTCGGGCTCATCTCTGCCTTGCTATTTTCCTGCTGTTGGCTCCCTACTTTTCCCCTGTATTCAACTGTTTGCCCTGTTTAGTCATCCCCCTCTGCTGCTGTTCCTGGAACTGTGGCCTTTTTTATCTTTCTCTAGAATGTCCTTCAGTATTCTTGTAGAGTTGGTTTGGTTTTTTTCCCATGCTTGGAAAGTTTTTAGCTATTACTTCTGTAAAGTCTTCTTAAGTCATTTGTGTTGACCCTTGTTTTTCACTGACACCTATTACTGACACTCTATCACCCTTAACTTATTTTTCTCTGTGTCATCTTGCAGCCACTGAATTGTTATTTCCTAGTTTCTTATTACTTTTAAGAGATCTTTCTCTTTCTGGTCCCTAGCTGCAAACCTGTCTTCAAGATCTGAAAGTTTATCTTCAGTTTCTTTCAAGCAGCTTTGCCAGCTTTTTAAAACAATTTTATTATTTTGAAGGTAGTAAAATACAACAAAAAAGACAGAGCAAAGCCAAATGAGACAATGCAGTGAAACTGGTACAGAACATCACAGCAGGTTACCGGGATAACAGTAATAGGTACCACAGTATATTTCGTTATCTTCACAATAGTTGTCCTTTGAATCAGGTATAGCAAAATCAAACCAAATACAGAACATTATATAACTTAACAAAACAGAATATTGACTAGAGCAATACAATTAATCAGAACATAACAAAACAGTGATAACAATATTTTCCTTCAAAGAGGTGGCAGAAGGAAATCCCCCATATATTTGCTATATTGCATATGGTCAACCTCCCAAGAGATGCTCAGACCTCTGGCTCCCATTTGCTAACGGTGCGGGGGGATGGGATGGGATGTTTGATTCTCAGCCTGCACACTGGAAGCTCACAGCTGTTTACCAGGGAGGCGAACTGCTTGCTTCCTTTCCCGGTGCCCTAAGTTCCAACATGGTGGGATCTCAGGAGACACTGGCTGGTTCTCTCCTTGGGGTACTCACCACTTGCTTGAGCCAGTTTTGCCAGATTTTGATGGAGTTTTTAATTTCTGGATATCTCTTTGACTCTGTTTCATGCATTCTGTATCTTTCTTGCATGTTCATTCAGTTTTCCTCATTTTCCTATGCTCCTCTATTTTTTTATCCATGTCTTTTTTAGATATGCTCAGCAATTCTTTCATTATGTTTTCTTCTTTTACTTGAGATACCATTTCTGACCTAATTTCTTTTATAGCCTCATAAAGTTGTTTCTTTGACTGCCATCACTTCAAAAGCTTCAGGTGTGCGACTTCCAATCTCTTCCATATTTAAATCTTTTAGACGTGCTCTGCATGGGTCGGAGGCCAGAGTTTGCCTGTTGCTTCTTCATCTAGACATTTTCCTAGGTTCTTCCAAACAAACAGGTTGTAGGGCCCCTGGCCTGTGTTGACTGCCCATCTAAGTATAGGTGAATGGGTCAGGCACCTATGGTTCTACAATCCTAGGTTCCCAGGGCAGTGTTCAGGTGTACAGCTGGCTTCTGCAGACACATGCAGCTACTCCAAGACTCCCCAGTTGTTGCAAGTGCATGGTAATGAGGTTGGCTAGTTCTCCCCCCTAGAACTGGCTACTGGTCCCTGATGGCTGGTGGCAGGCTTGTTGGGGTGCCTATGTTCAGTTTCTTCTTCCGGTGTTTACAGTTCTGTACTAATATCTGTGTTGCATCCCAGAGATGTGTTGGGTATGGATTTGATCTTGGCATCTGTGTGTGTCTGTGCACCAGGCTGTTGTCCTGGGTCTTGAGGTTCCATTCAGTCTTATTCTTACAGTCAACCTGCTCTCCGGAATGAAATGGAGGGGTACAGAGCACAGACTCACTGTCTATATGTTTTCAACTCAAAGAAAATAGTGATTTTAACTGAAAGAGTCATAATAAGATTAGACATTTTTCCTGAGTTTTTATAATATCTTAGTCTGACTGAGACATGAAAAAATTCTTTAATGGTTCACTTCTCATATAGTAGAATAATGAGTACCAAAGAAGGGTATAAAGAAGGTAGGGACAGAGAAAGATTGGCTAAAAGTGTATTATAAAAATACACTTTTAAAAGTGTATTATAAAAATACACTTTTAAAAGTGTATTATAAAAATACACTTAGCAAGGGTAAGTTCCATTTTTCTATAGTATGGTAAGGTCACTATAGTTAACAATAATTCACTGCATATTTAAGATAGCCAGAAGAAAAACTAACCTGATACAATCACAATACATTGAACATATGTAACACAATATCACATAAATGTTATACTACAATTAAAATTTTTAAAAATTCACTTCTGTTTACAGGAAAGATAAAAGAGGAAGATACAGATAATAATTTATAACTATATTTAGTTATTATACATTTACCTTATAATTCATAGGAATATATTAGCAACAGGGAGCAACAAAAGAAGGCCCATGTATTGTCTGTCACAATCCAGTTCAATATGTGCCCACAGACCTGCCAGAATGAGTGGGTGAGATTCAGAGAAACTACATTCTCAGATGAACTCCTGATATATATGAGGAAGAAAAAAAATCTGCTCTAGCAAGTGGAATCCTATCTAATTTGAATTCTGCTCAGTAGAAATCAGTTTTCATAAATCAAATTTATCAAGGTAGCTCTAGAATTTAGACTCATGCCTTGTGCCTTCAAAATCTGATCAGACTACTAAGAATTCAGATCATTCAGACTCCACAGATAGAAAAAAATCATTCCTGGGCTTATTGCCACAGGCAAGGGACACACAGATGAACAGAATCCAAGTGGCATGTGATATCCACTATAGATGGATATGCTTCACACAGCCCTTTGTAATAAACACCTTTGACTTGTTACCTTAAATATGTACTCCTCTTTAAAAAAAAATAACTTTTCAAGTTTCTTTCTCATTCAGTTCTTGAAAATGTTTCTTTCAGGAAAAACTCGGGTGAGATGCAGGGAATAAAAACTACTTACAGAATTTCTTTGAGACAGCAATGAATTGGAGAATCAACCAATATCTGCACTGATTAATTTAAAGTAGCTGTCTCTTGCAGCTCAGAGAATCTACCACAATCCAGTTGCGGTTACCCCAAAGGCACAAATGTTCTGTTGAAAAGTTAACTTCAAGTGCAACTTTAAGCCTACATCAGTAACCTTGAAAACATGTCCAGGTCTTGGATTGGTCTTTGAATTTGGCAGG